GGGCATATACGCTCATGTATACGTACTGACACTCATTCAGTACAGTGACTCATGGTCTCCACAGCAAGACACTGTCATTTTGAATCTCTTAGCGATTAAATGGCTTTCATGTCTTCCTGTTCTCACGAGCCTAAATGTTTTATTTCTTTCATTTTGTTTTTTTTTTTTATGAAATGCTAATATAAGATAATTATTGAATAAAAACTTTATTTGTACTAAAGAAGTCCAAGAAAGACAGACACCAAGTCCCTGCACAACTTTTCATTTTGTAATTACTTTTCAGTACATGAAAAATTATTAACATTTTGGTACCACGATGCAATAAATAAGCAAACTAGAGATCTGCAGTGTGCAAGCTGTTATTTTTTTTTTTTTCCCCACGTATCGACTCATATTTCAGCACAGCACCTGTCCCATTTTCTGGTGTGGATGTGCATGTATTATATCCTATTTTAGGAATTACTTTTCAACCAATTTAGATGTTGAGAAAAATATTATTTATAATCCTATTTGACAGATGGCAAAGAAATATTTGCTAAAATACTGAACTGATCACTAAACTGTGGTTCCAAGGCTGTTTAGTCGATAACCTTAAAGCACAATGCAGTATTTTTTTGCCCCGAGATCATACACTGTCCGTGAAGTGTAAAGTGGATCTTGGAGTCTTAGGAAGGATTTATGGTCTGTCCAACGTGTGTATTGGATGGTTGGATAACAAAAACCCAACAGCTCTGACTCATAGGGGGAATCATTTCTCAGACTTTCCACACCCACTTCACGTTGTGATCGTCCAGCTTTGCAGAGGTGAGAGGAGACCTGAGCACTGAGTACTGACTGTACTTCTTTCTAGCTCTGTTGCCCTCAGCCACCCACCCCCTCACTCTGTCCTCAGAACAGCTAAACACGTTTAACAGCATATCTAAGGAATGAGTTTATAAAGACACTGACTTTAAGCACTGAAATTTAGGCCTATGTTTAAGAATTTCTGTTATAGAAGTACGTTTGAGATCCAATGCTCTGCTTGAAACTAGAATTGTTGCCTTGTGGTGTCATGCTTTTGTCAAAAAGTCAGATACATCCACATCTGAGTTTCAGGGAATTTCCTAAAAGTTACACATTGCCATGACAGAGAGTCAGCCACATCAACGAAGCACAGGTGTTTGGTGTGCAGCTGCATGCCCATTCTCACCTACACAGACCAGGTCCATGAAGCCATACATGCCGTAGCAGATCTGGAAGAGGACATCCTGACGCTGCCATTTGGCCTGAGGGCTGAGCGCCGACCAGAGCAGCCAGGAGATGCTGGCTACAAGGAAGAGAGAGCCCAGGAACACCGCAATGATCTGCACCTTCTCCACCAGGGTAATGGTGATGGACTGCCACTGCACAAAGAACAGAGGCAATACATTCAATACACACTTTGACTTTAAATAAAGACTTTGTTTATATTTTAGCACGAGTTAAGATAAAGTAAGATCTTTATTTATCCCGTGGGAAATTATTTTGTCACGACAACCTAATCAAAACAGTATTTTTGCTCCATGTCGGATCAATCTGCAGCACCACAAAATTCGGATGCCCGACCTGTGTTAATCAAATACATAAAT